GCCGGGGGAGGGAAGGGGTGCATGTGACGAGGATGCACACACACACACACATACTCACATCCCCTTACTCCCGCCGTTCTACCACCAACGCCACCACCACCACCGCCACCACCACCACCACCACCACGAACAGCAGCAACAACAACAATAAAAACACACACACACACATACACTGACTGTTGCTATTGTGCTATCACTCTCAGGACAGCCCTCCCTGACGCAAAACAGCTAAACATAGCTATTCATGCATACGCGCTGGAAAGGCGGGGAGCAAGGGGAAGGCGGGGAGAGAGTGTGTATGTGTGTGTGGGGGGGGGGAGGGGGTCTGCTCACCACCACCAGTTTGCGAGTCAGCTTCTCCAGCTCCCGCTCACTCAGTTTGCGAGGGTCCACCGTAACGCCCCCCTTGGCACCGCCGTACGGAATGTCCATTACGGCAGTCTTCCTGGAAGGGTGGGCAGGTCGAGGGGGGGGAGGATGGGGGTGCAGGATGTTGCGACAGACGAACATACGGACAAGCAGACAGACATGCAGGCGGACAAACCCACCGGCAACCATGCATCCATTCATGACAAGCAGACAGACATACAGACAAGAGAGGGATGTAGCTCTTACCAGGTCATAAGGCTCGCAAGACTGTCACCGGGTACGAGACGGTGTACGGCAGTACGGTGCGGCAGTCAGCCCACGAGCCCGTCCCGGGACGCAGCCAAGGCAACGCACAGGCGAGGGCGCCGACAAAAGTCCCGGTTTAATCCAAATCCAGCCGGTTTGGATAGATGGATCCAGACGTATCCAGCCGTATGGGGGTGGTAGCAGGATAAAGGACGAGGAGAGGAACAAAGTTGGCATAACAGCAAAAAAATGCATACATGCATACGTACATACATACATACATGCGTGATTGGACCCCACACGGGTGACCAGAATGTAGGGGTAGCATGTACGGACGCCGCCTTCAGGCTGACTGGTTTTGCACGCTGGGCTTCAGGAGCCCAGGGGTTACTTCTTCTACACTCAGGTATATTCCCAATCAAGGGCACTTAACTACACTTCTATCCTACGGGCGCGTGTGGGTCACTACATCACAACCGTCTCCCGTGATGACGGAGAGCCCCTCGTGGGAAGGAAGGTTAGCAACAGGACCCAATAACTGAAACCCCAATGACTACGAACCGCCAACCGTCAACCGCTAACGATCCACCTGCGCACATCGTCCAGGTCCACCTGTGGGTGGTAGCGCAGACCGCCCTTGTACGGCCCCCGTGCGTTATTGTGCTGTACACGGTAGGCGTTAAACACCTCGATTTTTCCGTCGTCCATCTGGAGGCGCAATGGGGGGGGGCGCCCGGGTGGTGGTGTGTGTGTGTGGGGGGGGGGGGGCGGGAAAGCAGGGCATTGAAGCCACACATACACACACGCGCATACGTGGAGGAATGATGTGGGACGGGATGAGGTTGGGCGGCTGGGAGAGGTGAGGTAACAGCCGGATGCGGATGCGGGCTGAGCCGCGCGGCAGGGATGTTGAGTGTCATAGCGGGTCTGGGGGACGCTTGACCTGGCGCGTACACCCCTACAAGCACACAACACAGAATTGAAACAATTACGCAACCGATGTTGAGAAATCACCTGCACGACTAGCTCCACACTCATTTCTCGTCGGGGTGTCAGGAGCAGGTTCTGCAGCTTCTCCGGATAATCCAGCCGATTAAGGGCCTGCGAATTGCATGCAATCAACCTTGCTTTGAAGCAGGACGCCACGGTTGCTTTAAAAAGGTGTGAGCGGAGGGCAAATTGCAAACGCTTCCGTATCTCAAGATCCTGAGGAGATGCCGCATCCCTTCCGGAAACGAGCAAGATGTCAATGTACATCGCATGATGCCCCGTCCGATCACCTCTCGCAAGAACTTGTTTGTGTTCTCCGCGTGTGAGCTTGCGTAGCGAAACTGGGATAAGCTCGCGGCCATCCATTGCCCTCCAAGGAGACGACCAAGACCACCGGCAATTTGTTTTCCGGACAGCAGCAATGGACTAGCCATGGTTGGGAAGTCGAGGATCCGGCGATAAAGGCAACGTTAATATGTTTGCATGTGAAATGGCGCGGTTAAAAGCTAGAGCTGAACCTTATAACCTATTGTTTTTACCACGACATGGAGCAATTTGTTCATAGGGTATATAAATATGGCTATCAAATTCCGTCGCAGGAGGCCAAGATAATGCTCATGACGGGCCCACTTCTCAGGCTGACGTAGCACGGATTCCGCTTTTCTGCGTTCTGACACGTGCTGCGTTGGCTTCCTCCAACATCCTTTAGGGCCTGCCAACTCGACAAATAAAGGTAACGATTAAATTAGAGTGATTCTATCCCTTGTACAATTGGCATCAAACGTTTCGCGCCTCTGGCCGTTTTTGGTGGAAACGGCCGTTTTCGCCCGACAAATTAACCACAAACGGGTCTTGGCCCCACCCTTAGTACCGGAATTAACACAGGTTGCCCATTAGATTTAGACATGGAATGAGGTCCATGACGGATGGACGAGCGCACGTGCTAACCTCGTGTGCAACCGAATAGTTTGCCTTGATCGAGCTTTTCGATCCGGCCTTGGGCAGCACACGATCACATATGGAAAACCGGTAAAATGCATCACCATCCTCCTAGCTTCATTAGCATAAGATTTTAAAACCTGCTGCAGCACGTAGGCGGTAGCATTGCGGATCCTAACTTTTTGACAGTTGGCCGAGCACTACATGCCCCACTGGGGTCACAGCATGACCTACGAATTAGGTGAAATGCCAGCTGCAATGACAGCTTGACATATAAATGCGACATCGTACTGGCTACTGCGTCGCAGCTGTTGCGTGCGAAGCTAACGCCAGCCATTTACCGTACCTATCTCACAAAGCGTTGGCGGGCGCCACCCGTAACGGATGATGTCGTTACATCATTATTTCCAAATCTCAACGTTCTGTATATTTCCTAGCTGGCTCACACTTTACATACTTAAAATTCGTTGCCATCTATAGCATTTAAAGGGGCTGCTATTCTCGGCCGTGTTCTGTAATTCGTACGAGATGAATGCACTGCCGGATGGTGTGGCTCAATAGCCCTCAATACTTGTTGGCGCATTATGGTGCATTTATGGCGGGAGTGCTTGGCGGCTGTGCGTGAGGCCGTTTCGCTGGGCCGCCAGCGTCTCTTCCTCGCCAGCTGCTGCCACACCGTTTTCTTGCCGTCCACCGGGCCGGGCACCCCTCTTGTCCTGGCCCTCGAGTGGTTCCTTACTTAGATTACTTCCTCTTCGTCTTTACATCCGAGGATCAGGCGCGTCCTGGGGCGCGCTTGGTGCGTGAGAACATTGAGTTTTTAGCTCTGTCTTGTTATCATTAAGGTGCCAGTGGGAGCCGCCGCAGTCCGTGTATCATTCAGTCATAACAATTCATACGTCAGCCAGCGAGGCGTTCGAGGTTGTTAAGATTGCGTCGCCTGGCGGTTGGGTTGAGGATCACGGCGAAGATGAATGGGCGTCTGGGTGCAGAAGCGTGAACTTGCAAAGTTGTGTGGGTTTTGCACAGAGCGTCAGGCTAGACCTCCCTCCTCCGTCTCTCCTTCCCTCCCTCCTCCAACGTGTTCGTGTGTCCTGGTGTAAGGGATGGGAGGGGTGGGAGGGTTTTGGGCAGCATATGCGCAGTCTATGCGTCACAGGAAATAAAAGGGGTAGTGGTATTACAAGCTGTGGAGAGTAGTTATTGACGTTTTGTATACTACTAAATGCATCATTCTGCCTCTGCTGCGTAAGACATGTTACTCTCAGGCTCATTCATGTCTAACTATGAGACAGTGAATGATTCACCCTGCATAACTTGCAGACACGTGGAAGAGGTCGACATGGAAATAGTTACAGACCTTGGCTCTGGAGCGATCCGACCACCACAAAATTGGTATCCCAGGTTCCCTGAAACAGAATCCCCACTCAAGATTGACACGGTTTTGCCGTGGTGGGACCTATGTGTGCGTGTGAACACCCTCCCGCCCTCAGGACCTGCTCCGCCGCTCGGTGCCTAGCAGTGGCGGGACTGCGACTTTGACTTTGACTTTGACTTTGGAATTCAACATGCAAACAAGTGGGCGGACGACTGCGCATCTCCTCCAGTTGCAGCTGGCGCCGCCCAGCCACCACGCGGGTAGCAGGCCCGCATGCATCGAGATCTGCCATGTCGGCTGTCTTGCATTACAGCACATACACACAAACACGCAAGCCATGTAATACGCTACTCGCGTAGCGGCCTGCCAAGCATCTTGGACGTTCTTTTCGGGGTTCAGGATTGCGGAGCGTGATGGTAGTCCTCTGAAGAGTCGATAATGGCTTTAAATGAGGCTTTTCCCAGGGATTGCAGCTGGCCAGGGGTACAAAGCGCCCTCATCCAAAAGCTTGCACTGTACATACAGAGTGCCACACCAGCACCATTTCTGGCCGCAGAAGAGAGATGCGGAGCACATACGCGCTTACCTTTTGTGTTTACATTTTATTAGTACAGTACGGCAATATCGCTTCGTCACACACTATGCTGTCGCAATAGCAGGTTCAACAGGGATCATGATGGCATACTGGCTTAGTTTAATGCGCAACCTGCGTAAGATATCGCGCTTGGGGCGGGGTGCGCCCCCTAGTGTCGCAACGCGCAGATAGTCCCGCCGGCTTTCATTAACAAAGGCCGCTGCGAATTACTAAAACATATTTATATCGACCAATCCAACACGAAACTACGTGCTAGAGGTGCTAATATTGTACATCCACGATACTGCACCCGCGTATTGCACAAGCGTCAAGCACTGCAGATTAGGACGTCAATTTTCCGTGGAACATTTCCTTCTTATGTGTTCCTAATTTGAAATGAAGGAAGCCGCTGAACCTAGTGATGCTGGTTCTTTAAGTGGCCGTTCAGCTGGTCAGGCCAGCCAAACGTCCAGCCAAGCGGAGGCTAACAAGTACCTAAATAAGAGGTGAGGACTCAGTTTGCGAGCCTGGCTGGGGCGGGAGAATGCGGCTGACGGCTGTGTAGATGGTTATCGACCAGCGGATAGTTCCTTCGACGAAACCTTCACAGCCTCTCTTGCAGACACTTATAGATCTCAGAAGATAATTTTATTATGTACGCCTACTTCTAGGTTCATGGATAAGGTTTCTCGCATCATTTAGACGGCAATACCTGGCTACCAGCACATGACATATCACGTGCGACTTAGAGCGGCTTAAGGTGATATTTGGATAAATAAATTCTGCACATATAATATGTAAATGTTTGTAAGCCATTCTACTCGCCAGATGACGTTCCTAAGCTGTCGCGTCGCCTCTGCTTGAACTTTTACGCCCCGAAATCCGCTATCAGGCACCAGAATGCGAATGCGGAAGAGGAGGATGACCTTTTGGAGCAGAGCAGGACGCTCCAGGAGGCAATCTTCCACAGCATGTAAGCACTACCTTGAACGGGCTTTGCGGCCGCGTGACTTTGCGAGGGTGGTGGGCGGCATCCATTCGCGGACTCTAGACCAACCAAACAAGAAATTTGAATTTATAATTTGTATAAAAAATACTTACAGATTATCCTAGCTAGGTCTTCACGTTGAGCATAAGCAACCTTCGCCTTTTCGAAGCACGAGAAAGACCAAGAAGAAGAAGAAGAAGAGGCACAATCGCCGAATTAGCGTCAGCAGCGGACAGTATGATGTGTTAATATATTAGATCAAAGAGCGCCTTTTACTTCTAGCGCACAAACCTTGGCTGAGCTTGACACCATTTGCGAAACATCTTCGCGGGATGCCGGGGTTGAACGGGCCCAGACAGAGCCAACCCGGCACGTACATGACGCACATGACACGACACAGATCAGTCGGCCTCAGCTGTACCATTCAAGTCATGCTTGGTTCGGCCGTACATGTACGGTTCCGATCCGTCCGGCCCCGCCAGGCCCGAAACCCGAAACAAGCGGCCAGGGGCGGCGGTGGCAGTTTGCCAACAGCACCTTACGGGCAGTTGAGGTTATAACCTGCTTCTCTTCAATCTTCTTTCGTGTATTTTGCACGTTCCGCATGGCTTGTGTACGACAGGTACATATTGGTTCGCGCTCGGGTTTCGGAGCACTGGAAGCTGGCGGTGAGCAAGATGGTCTTGGAGATGCTTATCCCATTCCTGGTAATATTTAATCCCGGAGAGGGCTGGCAAATCGACACCAGCAACCCGGTATGGCAAGTGATACGGTGGACGTTGCCAAGGGTGCCCATCACTAAACTCTGGGTGAGTGCCGTGTTGCAGCATGGTTGGGTTATAACAGAAGCGGGCTATGCCGGGGGCCTTTGCAAAGCGGGGAAACAGGAAGCCTGAGACTGGCCAAGGGTCGGACTGGTCGGACGTCCTTCTGTGGTGAGGTGATGAAGGGATGCAGATTCGTCGATGTGTATATGTTGCGCCTTCTGGAGTTCCTTCTTAGATCTGACTGTTACTGGATCTGCAAGGTCAACGGTAATGGCCGTTGCCATGACCCTTGTCGCTCCTGTCTGCTGCTGCTGCTGCTACTGCAGCTGCTGCTGCTACTGCTGCTGCTGCTGCTACTGCTGCTGTTGCTACTGCTGCAGCTGCTGCTGCTGCTGCTACTGCTGCAGCTGCTGCTGCTTGAAGTAGTGGTACTTGAGCAGTAGTGGCCATGTGTTATTAGCAAAGTAGCGCCCAAACGCAATCCTCTATGGCTGTGTGCACATTGCTTTGGATGGGTCGCTGGGGATGGGTCGCTGGGGTGCATGGTGGTCGTCCATTATTGCCAGCCCATGATAAGTCAGGCCGATCCCTAACTCTCCCGTGGATTCCCATGACCCTCCCCCGAGCTTGCACTGTCCCGTCCTGTCCCTCCTTTGCCACGCACACTCAACCCGGCCCCCGTTCCATTGTCGGCGCTGGAACCCGCACCACCATCA